AACGCCCCAATTCAAAGAATTTTCGTAAATAAAATAGTCGTAGGTTACGATGAGATGAAACTATTTACGAAGTTTCAAACGGATGCTAATAATCGATAAAAAAGGGTATGTACCACCGACTATGAATTTTGTTATTAAACACCATCTAACGAGAAGAAGTAATACAATATTTATTTACTGTCACGTATAAGTTATTGTTCCAGATCGCATTAATCCATCCAACGAACCGATACAAAAAATAAGAACAAAATTCTTTATATTTACTAACAGTATTTATGGTGAACATAGGACTTCTTGATGGGTAGGTTCGACTTTAAATGTATATAATAAGCTTCCTTGTAGATTTAAAGGTTCCAGTTTTTTATAGATTGACAACTATATGAACAAACTTCCCAAAAGAAATTTTTAAAATGCCTATTATTGTTGTTTATACAGTGAGTGCTCTTGATATCAGTGTGTTTCATACCTTCCTAGTAACAGTTTTGCTAAGAGTAAGTTAGAAATTTATATTATATTATCTTTATAGTTAAATAAAGATTTTAGAATTTTTCTGAGATGTGTCTATTACTGGTACCGACCCAGTAATAGACAGTCCATTGCTAGAACAATCAAGTTTCTGGGTGTCCATCACTAGTGCAAAAAATATATTGTTTTTTAAGGGAGATTATATCTGTATAAATATATTTTTTTTTAATTTTAAATTGAACAAGGAGACCCTAGACACTGGTTTATTTATTTATTGTTACATTCTGCATCTACCCGAGCGGGTCATTAGTGGCTTTAGATGTAATCAAATTAGGTGGACAAATTTAATGTCTTTTATAAATTCAAATACTTTTTGTATCTTTTCTTCGTCATCTGAAAGTGCTTCAGATATGTTGGAAGGTATATTATGTTTTGTTCTGGTGTCAGAGTATAGTCTGCAAGTTGTTACAATGTGTTTCAGTGTAAGTGATGTGTTGCATGTTTTACAAAATGGTGGTTCCAGGCCTCTCATTAGGTAGCCATGGGTAAAGGCTGCATGTCCAATTCTAAACCGAGTTAAAATTATTTCTTCTTTTCTGTTCTTTCTGAAAGAGGTCGTCTATGGTTTGGTATCTTTTTTTATTTATTGCAATTTATTCGTAGATTGGTTCCACTTGAATTGCCATTTTTCATTTAGCATTTTTTTGCATTCCAATCTCCAGTCAGCAGTGGTCGTTAGATTGATCATTGTGGTTCCATTAGTCTTTTTTCTTGCTAGGTTCGCGGCTCTGTCTGCAGCTTCGTTCCCAGATATGCCACAATGTGAGGAAGCCCATGCGAGGACGATGTCTCTGTCCGGCGACTCCTTCATCTTAGACACTGGTTTAAATAAATGATTTTGGGAGTATTTATCGTCTACAGTTATATTATCATTGTGGAAGCCATTTGAAGAGGTCTTCGGAGAAGATAAAGTAATTTGTGGTGAATACTTGAAGTACCGGCTGATTAATTGAATTATTTTTATTAATTAATTAATTAACTAATCATAGTCATATTAATTAGAAGTACTGACAGGTAATTGATAGTATTTGTTCTTTAATAATATATAACAATTAACTATGAACTGATCAATAATCATCAATTTATAATTTAATACTTGAGCTGATTATTGCTTGGGAATGTATCTCCATTAAGCTTTAATTGTAATTTAGTGCTTGCAGGATACTAACTTATTTGGCCTAATTGTAAGAATGTGCCTCACGAATTTTCCAGCATTAAACATTAGTGCTAACCAATTACATAATCTGACGGAAAATGAGACATGAATATTTATTTATAATTATCAGTCCTTATTTATATTTATTACTGACTTCAAGCGTTGGTAAAAGACTTCTTAACGACCTAGAAATAAAAATAAAATAAAATATTTATTGAGAAGGAGTTGGTCGGGGGGTGCGGTGTTTCAACTGCCTCCCGCAGTGCTACATCATACGTCCTGATGAAGACCTGCAAAGTGGGTCGAAACGTCGGCATAAAAATTAAATGATAATATTTCTATAATTTTTGATTTATTTGACCGCACCCCGTGATCAAATCCTTCTCATATTATATCACGGTCAACCATCTCTACATCATTGAAATATTTTTGGTAGCATTATTCTTTGTATCATTAAATAAAACAAAAAAAAAACACACACACATATATATATAGATTGTCACAAGAAATAATCCTTTTTATTAAGGTTTTCATCATCTTTTCTTATTTCCTTTTATCTTCTTGTAGCTTTTTTCCGGTTATACCTTATATTACACAGGCTCTCTTCTTTCTTCAAGCTCAATTGTCAAAAATTCTTTACGGCCATTTTCCTACCCCGTTATATTAAAATAGCCTAACAAACTGCGCTTTTTTCCCTCAAGACCTCTTCAAGGGATTTGAAAACCATATTTGTGTGTTGCAATATTTATCGTTTGAAACATAAAAGTAAAATGAAAAAGTTCCATGAACAAACTAAATTACGTTCTAAAAAGATTTTCACTTTCATTTTCTTCTTAACAACATTCATACGAGATTCCGCTATTTCATTTTTACCATAGGCAAATAAATCATTTAAATATTAAAACTTACTTCTAAAACCGTGTAAGTCAAATTAACTTTAGTAAGTCAAAATCGGGTAATTCAAAATTCTATTAAATAACCTATGTTCATCTTTATAATCAATACTTATAATATGTGAGGTTATTTTCTTAAAATATTTAGGGATTTTTATTATAGGGCCCGAAAAAATAATAATTGAGAAAGATGAAATATTGAAAAAACTATTTCATTTCTAGCTGAGGTTTCGACCCTACTTTGTAGCTCTTCTTAAGGGAACCGGAGTTTGGTGTGAAACTGCTGGATTTGCAGCATAAATCAGCAGTTTGTCTGTTTGTTTAGGATCTAAGGCGTAAAACCATAGGGTTATCAATGCCTATCTGTTATTTTTTTAACTGTTGAAGAGAAAAAACAAATATAAACAATTAAAAATAGATAGATAAAGTAATAATTGTAAAATAATTAAAAAAACATAGAAAATGAAATATACTATTTGTCATTTTAAAAAAAAACATATTCTTAACCTAGCACGGCGACCTCTAATTATCCCGACCACACGTACTCCATAGTTGGATCGAGAAATTAGTTTTAAATAATTATTTTTTTTCACTATTTTAGCTTTTTTTATGACCGCCATTCCGGACTATCTCCTTGACCATTATAGTATACAACTGTCAACGGTCGAGTATTCGAAAAAATATTTTTTTTTTAAATTTTTTTCTTCATAAATTGAAGTTTCTCTAAGCCAAATTCCTCCCTCAGTCGGTAAACTTCCCATAAACTACTTCCTCAGCCAAACTTCTCCACTTCTTTCTGTCCATCACTTCCTCCTCCGTCAGTACTCGACCTGCTATATTCCCAGCCACATCTCTCCATCAGCTATGTGGCCTTCCTCTTCTACCCTCGACCTACATTCAAATGGTGTTTTAGTAATTCGTTCGCTATTCATCCTTTTAACATGTCCATACCCCTTAAAATAAAAAATAAAATAAAAAAAATTACTTTTCTATTTTAAAAATGCATATTTTCAATTCCTTGTGTACAATTATTTTCAAAAAAAATTACAAGGTTTTAGAGGTCATCCATTGATATACAAATTATTTATAGCTGTAATATACTTATATATACCAGATACAACAAAAATAAAAATATAAGTGTAAAAAAGAAAAGTGTGTTAAAAAAATAAAACTGAAAATAAAGAGTAGGAACCAACCAAAAAAGCTAAGCAAAATTTTTAAATTAAATGTTTTGAGATGTATATAATTATTTTGTTGGGGTTTCGAAATTAAAAAAAAAAACAAACGTGAAACCTCAAATTTTGAGAGGGGGTTAAATTTTTTAATTTTTTGGTCGATCACAATGTTGAAAATAATAAACCGAAGATATTTAAAATTCGCGGTATCTCTACTAATAGTGCTTTGATTTCGATGAAATTTCCTTCATTTTGTAGAAAATTTAAATGCCTTTGAAACATTTAATCACAATATCCACAAAAAAGTTTATACTTTTTTAGTTATTCGGAATTTAATTTTACCATCCCTTGTAACTTTTTTTCCAGCTTCTTTTCGTTGGAGTATGTTATATAAATAAATTTAAAAGGCGTCAAGAAAATAACTTTAGCGAAGTTTCATTGAAATCGGTACATTCGTTTAGGAGCTACAGTCTGTAGCAACACAGGTTTTTCGGCCGCCATTTTGAAAGTAAAAGGCGGATAGTAATGTCGTTGAAGGAGGATCATTCTCGGGTGACCTCTGATTTTATATCCAAATTTGAAAAAAAAAATCGGTCAAGTAGTTTCGGAGAAAATTCGTGGACGGCGGAGGGCAGACGGACAAAAAAAATTGTATTCGTTTTTCGAATTCTACGCATCCTGAAACGTGAAACCTCAAATTTTAAGAGGGGGTTAAGTTATTGAATTTTTTGGTCGATCGCAATGGTTGATTATTGAAAATAATAAACCAAATCTTTATTTTAAGTGAATTTCTTTTCAGTAAGCAGCTTTACTATTATTTTCAATAATTAGTCTTTCGTTTACTTTTTTGTTACCAACTATTTATTTATTTACGTTTGATACATTACATCATTATTGAATCTTGCTCTCAGTAGCCCTGAAGATCTTCATCCTAATCCGAAAAAGCATTGATAAAATATTGCGAGTATAAATCTTAATCGCAATATTTAACCATCTTTCCTTGATTTAAATTATATAGGGTTAGTGCAATAGATGATCAAACGATGATCCTACAAAGATCCTAACCACCTTCAAGCTCAGAGAAGCTCGTTAGTTCTTTTAGTTAGTTCAACAACAATTAACCTAAAATTGTCGTGGAAAGGAAAGTATCTTTCTTCATAGTCTATAGTAGAAAATAATGTCCAATCCTGATCCCCTCCAGACATCTTACATTCTCATAGTTTATTTACCAATGACATTTACCTGTTGCAGAGCCCAACACCTCCACAGTTCGTGATGTGGTACCACAACGACAAGATGATCAACTACGAAGAAGGAGAGTCCCAGCTGGTTCAAGTCGTGACGGAGCCCGGGGGAGAGAAGACGCACTCTCAACTGCTGATACCGCGGGCGAACCCGAGGCACTCTGGGAACTACAGCTGTATGGCAAGCAACAGCGAGCCCGACTCGGTACACGTCTTCGTATCCACTGGTGAGTATAATTTTAGTTAAAATCAAACTAGTTTTTATGGTGATTTTAGTGAAGAAAAAAATATATCTTATCGGATACACCTTCAGTTATTTATTATAGTGTTTACGAGGGCATCACTTTCACTAATAACCTTTACAAGAAAAAAATATTCGTATAAACAGTATGTTATTATCCTGAGCGTTACATTCGTTACGATACAACTTGCGATGTTCCACAAGATGTGGTATTGTGGCCAGTACTACCCTCTGTTTACACAGCAAGAATTGTAGTAACCGAGCACCAAAATAACAGCTCTTGCTGTAGATATTACTGGAACAGTAGTTTAAACGCTCGGAAGCTAACAAGAACACACAACATGGGTCGCAAAAAATAGTCGGTAAATTGAGCAAATTAAACATTGAGACTAATCCTGATAAAACAAAGGGGTTTGTTGTTTTCATTCCAAAAAACGGAAGAAGATTCTACCATTAAAATTTAAAATAAGAAATTGTGAAAATAAACTTTCAAAACATATTTTATATCTTGGATTAACATTAGATAAACATTTAGGGTCTTCAACAAACCTTTTGATTTGTTTGAGGATTGTAATCAATAATCAAAAGTCCAACTCAATAGAAAAACAACTACATTAGTTTTAAAACGGAGCATTGCAAAATATAATAAAAGAAAGGCTATCCGAAGAGCTAAAAGGTCAAGTCTTCATGAGGAATTGAAAAAATTAAAAGTAAAGGATTTCATAACTGTAAGAAATGATAAATTTTATGACTCAGTCAAATAAAATAAAATAAGCATTGATGTATTCAATAAAAAGATTTTGTCTTCCTATATAAAGTTTTATTATTATTTTTCGCATTCAGCTTTTTGTTATTAGATCTTCTTCAACATAAACAGAATACTAATAAAATAACTATAAATCATGTTAGAGTAATGGAGGCCTTACTCGACTGCTTAGACCACTAAGACGCGGGTTCGATTCCCTCATCCAGAGATTCACAGGGAGGTGAGCAACCCTTATGTCTTTAACCTTAGCTCTTGGTCCTCCAGGTTAGGGGTTGAATAGAGGGCTGATTATTCCCTATCCCTTAAAAAAGTGGGTGGGGGTTTGATTGCCAACTATAGATTGCCAACTATCCTTCAGGAAAGTTCTTACTGAAGAGGTATGAATTTTTGATCGCTTCCGGTTAGTGAACCACGCGCTCCATGAATACTTTGAAGAACAGAAACAAACGATCTCTGTTGTCGTCTATAATAGCCACCCAAAAAGCTGCTAGAAGACTCGTGGCGAAAAGTCAAGAGGTATAAAAGAGAAAAAAAAATCATCAAATCCGAAATTGATAAAAGAAGTAATGAAATTAATGCAATTATAATAAAATGAACAAATAATATAGAATCCGATATTTTTTGGGGGGAGTGAGGGTTAAACTATATACTGGAAAAACAAATTTTGTATTAAATTTAAATCCGGTAATATCGAGCCTCAGTTCAAGAACTTTCGATCTTAATAGTCAATGCATGTGCATCGAAATGAAAAAAAAAAAAACATTTTACGTATCAAAAATAGTTACACTAAGTACAGAATTTATCACAGAGAAGGAATTTAACGATGTATAATGAAATTTCGTAATAAGCCGACAATAAAATACACATTCATGCATTAGTCTGTACCCCATGAGTCTTATAGTAGAGGATGGATTTTATAAAAATATGTAGAATAAGTCTGATATTAGATTAGCATACTTCCAGGATTATAGGTAAAACGCTGAAAGAAAGAATAACCAATTTCTAAAAAAAGTTGAAAAAATAAGCAATGGGGTGAGATAGATCGATGCGTCCGCATAGTAAACATGTTTCATGAAAGAAAAGTCGCTATCAAAACTTTTTTTTACCCCCAACAGCGTTTCACCGAAGAGGGGAAAATATTATTTTTTATTTCGAGTTTATTGTCACCTCTCCGCAGGGAACGACCGCGCATGCAAAAACACCCCCTGCCCTCCACTCCCTGCGCACCAGCAAAAACACTAGAGGATGGGACAGAAAATCAAAGTAAGTGTCCACAATTTTCAAACATTTTGGTTGAAACAACCAACGGAAAACGGACCAGATGTGAGCACACGGATTAACAACGGCTTAACATTCGTCAAACTGACATTTATAAACCTCTACTCAATACCATCGTATTAATTAATTTGATGAATTGATAACCAATCGGAACCATGCCGCCGTACTGTTATTTCACTTATCCCACTTACTATATTTATAGTAATAACTGTATTATTAACATTGATGTGATATTACAATAGTCCGTGGTACACACCCCTTTTTATCGAATTATTAACATCCACCTGAAACTTCGTGAATATCTTCATCTTATCGTAAACTACAACTATTTTATTTACGAAAACTCTTGAAATAAGGGTGTTTTCAATCTGGAAGAAGGCAAACTTTGTCTATTTATTTAGGTACTAAAAACTCGTAACAACCATTTGCTTTCCACTTGGATCGTAAGTCAATTCGATCAAAAAATCTATAAAAAATGTGGCTTATAAAAATATTGTACCGTTTGACCTATATAAACTCGAATAAATTTTGGGATGGAGATTACGTCAAAAAACATAATATTTTTGAAGACCACCTTTTTTCTCGACTTTGTGCTGAAGTTATATTACGTTTCAAGTGGAAAGCAAATGGATATTTACGAGTTCAGTACCTAATTATATAGACAAAGTTTGCCGTCCTCTAGATTGAAAACTCCAAAATTATAAGAATTTTCGTAAATAGAATATTTGTAGGCTACGATGAGATGGAACTATTCACGAAGTCTCAGCCGGATCTTAATAATTTGATAAAAATAGGTCTGTACCACGGAATATGCCTTACTTTTTCTGTTTGAAGTCGGTTCTAAAATCTCAAGTTTTGTTACCTTTTGGGTCTTAAAATTATACAGAAAGGTGACACCTCCCACTTTGCTTAACCCAATCACCTTTGTCCTCATTTCAAATTGTCTGGAAAATTAATAAATTAGAAAATAAAATAAATAAAAAATAAAATCAAATTATTAAGATCCGGCTGAAACTTCGTAAATAGCTCCATCTCATCGTAAACTACAAATATTTTATTTCCGAAAACTCTAACAATAAGGGCGTTTTCAATCTGGAAGAAAGCGAACTTTGTCTATTTAATTAGGTACTAAAACTCATAAATACCCATTTGCTTTCTAATTGGATCGTAAGATAGATTGATCACAAAATCGATAAAAAAGGTGTCCTACAAAATTATTGGGCCGTTGTACCTGTATAACGTCGTTATTTTGAAAATTTATTGGTGTAGGTCACGCCAAACGGCTCAATATTTTTGCAGGTCACCTTTTTTCTTAACTTTGTGATCAAATTATCTTCAGATACAAGTAAAAAGCAAATGTGCATTTACGAGTTTCTAGTACCTAATTAAATAGACAAAGTTTGCTTCCCTCCAGATTGAAAACTTCCCAATTCCGAGAGTTTTCGTAAATAAAATAGTTGTAGGTTACGATGAGATGAAACTATTTACGAAGTTTCAGGTGGATGTTAACAATTCGATAAAAAGGGGTTTGTACCACGGACTACAATTAAAAAGTTATTATCACGGCAAGATAGATATGCCTCGAAAGGCCAAATTAAAATCATCATTTGCCTCAAACTCAGCTCAACTTGAATTAAAACCATCAAGCTAAATTGCAGCATTTTGGAAGTAATGGGTGTTTTTTAATGTCCAAAGTCATTTAGAAGATTTATTTGAATGTTGGCAGAAAAAATGTGAAAATTATACTTTCGCTGATACAAATGATTGTTTTCCTTTTTTCTTTTAATTAGATAAAAGACTTTTTTTTTTAAATCGCTTTCAACGATTAGTTTGTAATTTAATGCATTTGACATTATTAAACAAATTAGATCTTATTGAGAACCCTTCCTCTCATTACGAATTATACATTAGAATTAAATAGCTGTTTGTTGGTAATATATTTCAATAATAACTTATTTATAACTGTTATAATGTGTTATGCTGAACCCTATTTGGGCATACATAACATATCATACTATTTTGAATAACTACAAATCAAATAATCATTATAGTTACAACCGAACATTCACCTTTTTCGATTGTTAAAGTTCTTTAAAAATTCCAGGTTTAATTTAGTCAGTTAGAGATTTGAAGAAAAAAAAAAAAACAGATTTTGAATTTTGCAACCGAACGAGTATGCATTCTTCAGTAGAAAAAATATTACTTTTTTTTTGGTTTTTAACTCATCACTCGAAAATCATTGAATGTACAACAAAACTACTAATCTATGAAAAATCTCATGAAAACTCAAAATAAAATATGATGGATGATAAATATGCAGGACGCAGTCAATTCATAGTATTAGTGAGGCATAAAGAAAAACAATATAGTGGCGAAAACGTTACGGTAAAATAAAACGGCGACGAGTTTATTGAATATTGAGCAAATTAATGAAATATTGAGTTAATGAATGGAATATTGAGTTAATGAATGAATATTGAGTTAATGAAAGGAGCCAATGAACATTAAAGAAAAGAAAGAATTAAGACGAAAAGGAAAAAAAATAGTGTCGAAAACCGAATGATAACGAGTTGTATTAAAGGTATGGATTGAAATATCTTAGAAATTAAAAAAAAGACCTGCATACTGTAAGCTAGGGACATATTCGGCATTTCATTCCCTTCATAATGAGTTATTATTTATAATCTATATTATTAATCTCGCCATGTTGGTGTTTTCACTTTTATCATGCGGTCTAAAGAACACACCTTACTTTTTTTAATCTTTTGTACCTTCTGTAACATTTGCATCTTCTTTTAAACGGACAACTTCCTTGGTTTTTCTTTCTCTTCAAGTGAATATTGCCTGTAACCATATTAAAAAACAATTTGCTACAAAACGATTGTAGATGGTAAAGGGGGAGCAGTCCTCTCCTATCGACTACCCACTCCACTTGGCTCGGTTCCCGAGAGGGTTCGGTCTATTTAGCCCGCTAACGAACAAACATGCTCTATTATTTCAGCTGACACTACCATCATTACCCTGATGGTACAGGTCGACAGTTTGACTAGACGTACAATACTAAGAGGAATAGCCAACTTCAAGGGCCAAATTCAAACCCAATTATTTTCTAAAACATTTTAATGTTCCTTACTGTTGGGGTCAGGGGTATTTCAAAATGAAAATAAAAGTCAATCCTTGTTGACTTTTCACAAAAGTGGGAAATAACAGTAAAATTAGCGAAGAGATTGGAGATATTAAAGGTACTTGTGAGTGACGCGGCCTCTTTGGACTGCTATCTGCAGTTATCTTGCTATTTAAATTGTTGTTGTTGTTACTTATATTTCTTATTAATATATATATATATTAATAAGAAGCAGGCAAAAAAGAGACAATGCCAAATATATTTATATTTCTTATAATATGAGAGTTTAATTTCATATGAAGATAGGGATTGTCAGTGCATTATAACAATTATCTGTGTTCAGGTTACAAACATTTAATAATAAGAAATATAAATAACAACAACAACACTTTAAATAACAAGATAACCGCAGATAGCAGGCCATAGAGGCCGCGTCGCTCACAAGTACCATATTAGAACTAAGAAAAATGGGATGTGTAAACAAGGTGAAAAGGCATGCACATAAAAATATTAAATATAAATATTCAATCAATAAAATATGGAAAATAAGCAATCCACCTTTTGAATTTTTTCAATAAAAAAAAGAGACACATACAAAATTCAATTTATCCTTAAGAATAAACATAAATCAAACCTCCAAAATAAAGATCAATAACAAGAAAAAAATTAACTATAAATAAGGCTCAATTAAAGTTCCAAAACAATGAATAAAAAAAATTAATTTAGAGAGAAAAATCAAAATAATATTTTGGTGACGGTGGAGAGTAAAAAACAATCCCAGTAGGAAGTAGAGAAGCCCTTCGCCCAACGAGGTTACCTTTTGAGATATCAGTTGATGTCAAGCAGTCGATGGTGGGGGAGGATCGATATGTATATCGATGACTGCCGATGTCTCTACAGCTGTGGTAAGTAAGATGGTGCTTGGACGGTGTGGTGATTGAGCTGGAGCTGATGTTGAGGTTTGGGGAAATGTCTATCTTTAACTAGTTTTGCCCAAATGCGAGACCGAGACGAGTCTTGGTCTTGCAAATTCACTCTTGGATACGGCTTTGGTCTTGCGCAAGAGTCTCACAACAGCCTTGCAGTTAATTATTCGCTTATTACTATAGAGATATTCCTGTAATTTTTTAGATAAGAGAAACCTAACTAAGCCCGAATGAAAAATTAAGGAGTTAAATACAAAAGTATATTGGTTATACCAATTATTAACATATAGTAATTAATATTGTCAAGTATTAGAAAACTATATTGCCTTAATTTTTATTTAAAAAATCGATTTTTTTTACCAGTGCAAAGTGCAAGACCAAGACTGATTTTGGACAACACTATCTCTAACATAGACCCATTATCCACAAATGCTGAATCTAGACTCACTCCCGGCAGTTTTATCGCAATATTTTGGTGTCTTAATTCTTAAGTATTATTAGGGATAGTGCGTATAAGCGATAATACATCGCGAAATAAAGCCTAAAATTTAAATATTATACAATTAAATAGGTTTCTAGTACAATTAGTTCTTGGCTCTTTATAAAAATAAAATAAATAAGATAAAATTAAAAGGGATAAAATGGTTAGAAAAAATAATAATAGAAATAAAAATAAAAATATATGCGGCGTTAACACTTACCGTATATCAAAATCGTTACCGTGATGGTACAAGTTAACAGATGGACTAGATGTACAAGGAAATACTTCAAGATGTTTCATCAAATTCAATTTCCAAATTGAAACACACTCATTTTCTATAAAATTTTAATATTCCTTTGACGATAATATTATTTTGATTCTGATCAAATTTATGATGTTTACATATACTGCGCAACAATCACGCAACCAATTTGTAACACGCATTGCAGCAGTTTCACTTCGAGATAAATCAATGATATGTTGTCTAATTAGGGTTTGCTTAGGGTGGTACGAAAAATCAATTCTTTTACA